CGATTTTGTTGCCAAGTGGAGTAACTGTCCCAAGAAAATAAGGGTGCGTTTAGTTGCGGAAAAATGAGCTATTTTCTGGAAAAATTTTCCAAGAATAATGAGAATTTTGAAAACGCGTTTAGTTCGTCTATTTTTCTAAATTTTTCACAGAAAATGAAAATTTTCCGTTTTCTAAAATTACAAAGAAGTTGGAAATTTTTGAAAAACCAATAATCATTGTTTTCCATATTTTTCTAATTCCCAAATTTTTCTAAAATATAAATACTCACTCCTACCTTATCTACCTCTACCTACCCTCACCTTAACACCCCAACCCACCACACCCCTACCTACCTACACTCACTCCCAAGCCCACCCCACCCCCACAAACACACACACACCAACCCCACAAACACACAAACACACCCACCTACACACACACACCAACCCCACAAACACACACACACACACCAACACCACAACCACAATCACCGACCTACCATCACCATCACCATCACCACAACAACTACCCCATCACTGCCATAATTGCCGCTGCCACCGCCACCACCATCACCGCCACCGCCAGCCCGCTGCCACCACCGTCCCCACGCCCACCCTACCAGCGCTACCGTTTTCTAAAAATGAAAACCGATAGAAAAATACACATCTAAACACGTTTTCTAATTTTCTAAAAACTAAAAATGAAAAATGAATAAGTTTTAACTAAACGCGTTTTCTAAATTTTCCAATAAAAACCGAAAACTGAAAAGAGAAAACGAAAAACAGAAAATGAAAACTGTTTTTCCGTAACTAAACGCAACCTAAAAGTTCTTATTTTAGTTTTCTATTGCTTCATATGGTGTATCTGGTCGGCGAGAAACAACAATGTGCATAAAAACATCCATCCCTACCCAACTCTTATAGCAGATGATGTAATCTCATTTATCTTTTACATGGTGTAAATACATGGTAGTCTAGTTGATGTCAATTACACGCAATGGTTGTAATCCATTTTGAATTTTCTTATATTATGAACCTTGTTGTATTGTCCAAGTCTTAGTTTCTTGCTAAGTTTGGTTTTTAGTTATAATTTATTATTGCCGTTACCAAAAAAAAAGGTGGTTTGATTTAATTTAAATCTTAGTGGTTTTTTGCAAATTACGCATTTAATGTCACTTAAATCTTAATTGGTCTATGTATAATATTATATCATAAAAGACCATATAATTTGTTTTTCAGATTAAACATAATTTTTTTGTTTTTTTTTTTTTGACTAAAAAGGACCTTGCACTTTGCTTTTTTTTTTTCAAATTTTGGCTCTCTAATCTTAGGGTTTAAATAACATATTCTAGAAAGACAAAATTGCAAGAATGGTCCCTGTGGTATGTCAAAACTAACAACTTTGGTCCAAAATGGGTTTGGCTCGCAAGGATGGTCCAATAGTTTCGTTTTGTTGCAAGTTTAGTCCAAAAATTTTAAAACTTTTTATAATGACGGATTTGCCCTTAGTATTTTCCATTTTTTTATTTTTTTATTATAGAAATCAAAAAAAGAAAAATAATCTCTCTCTCTCTCTAATACCATCTCTTCATCTCGTTAGTTCTCATCAGAAACAAAAACTCTCTCCTCCTACTTCACTTACGATCAAGAACACCCCAATGCCCTCATAATTTTCGGTTATCACCGCCTATCGCTGTCGTTAATCCACCCTCTTCTCCATCGCCGGAAAAGGGCAACACCTCCCCTCGTTTTGCAACAACCCAACCACCCACCACAACCGATGTCGTCAGAATCCCTTCCTCGACCTCCCTTTCGTCTCCAACTCGTCGACTGTGGCAGCTCCTCCGCCTCCCCCTGTCGTGACCCACCACCATCCAACATCCCAAATCCAAATCCACAATGGGTGTTCTACGTTCTTGTTTACTGATTCCAGTCTTTTTGTTTTCTTTTCCCCAAAATCTCATGGTCCCATGGAAGAAACGCTTCTCATCGAGAATCGGAACCCTAAAGTCAATTTAAGTAAAGTAGAAGATGAAACAATTTCATAAATCGATTCACTTCCAGACGCCAAATAGGAGATGAGAATCTCTTATTTACAAGCGATACTTGTACAAGCAACTGCAGATGAAGTTGTGATGGTGAAGAAGAAGAAAGGTCAACAAAGAGGGGAGGATTTCACTTTGTTGTAGAAATTAAAGAAAGTCGATTTCTTTCCTCATTTTCTTCTCTTTAGTTCTCGCATGGTTCTCGGATGAATGTAATCAATAATCTTTATATTACAAAAACCTTCATATCTTTGTTTTCATGATCAGTATTTGGAACCTTCTTGGTTCGTGGGAGGAAGAGAAATCAGGGGCGGTGGTGATTAAGTTGGAATGGTTCCGACTAGAAGGAGACGGTGGTAGTGACGTTAGGGAGGAGGAGAGATTGGTAGTGGTGATTTTGGGAGTTTGATTTTGGTTAATATTGTCTAGAGAGAGAGAGAGAGAGAGAGAGAGAGCTCGCGAGAGAGAGGATAGAGAGAGAGAGAGATTTTTTTATTTTTAATTGTTGTAATAAAAGAAAATTGGAAAATAAAATAATAAGGGGCAAATCCGTCATTATAAAAAAGTTTATAGGAAATTAGACTAAACTCGCAACAAAACGAAACTATTGGACCATCCTTGCGAGCCAAACCCATTTTGGATCAAAGTTGCTAGTTTTGACATACCACATGGACCATTCTTGCAATTTTGTCTTCTAGAAAACCAAAAAACCTTCAATTTTTCACAAAAAACCAACATTTCACACACACACATATATAATATAATTATATATATAATATATATAATATATATATATATATATCTATATATATCTATAATATATCTATATATATATAGAACCAACTTTTTTGTTTTGGATCATAATCCTCATGTTTTTATTGATGTTGTTGTTTATGGCTTTTTTTTTTTGTCTTAACATTAAAATTTGAAGGAGACATTTGCTTTTTTTTTCAATACAAAACGAAAGATGTTTCCGGTTCTTGTCAAAATGTATATCATAATCTATTTACATGATGCTCTAATATTGTAAAATGTGAAGAACAATAGTCTATTTTGGCTTGATAATGTTTCTAATTAGAAAAACATGAAAGCTTATATTATATTCAAAATATAGATGGATGTTTATAAGTCTTTTTTCTGTTTGATTCGTAAAACAATATAAGATATCATGCCAACTTAGACTATTGTTCTTAACATGCTACTATATTTAAGCATGTGATGGATAGATTTTAATATGCATTTTAGCAACAAAAAATGAGATACAATGACCTTTCTCTTTGTTTCAAACAAATCAAACGGTTCCCTTATATTCCAATGTTAAAATCATTAACAACATTATACACATCAATAAGAATAACATGAAAATTATGAGTCAAAACAAAAAAAAATGGTTTTAACAGAAACAATAAACTAGTCTCAAAGAATATAATGACATTATTATTGATTAAATCACTTCTAAGATAGAAAATATTAAGACAGAAAATATTTCTAAAGATAAAAACATGAAAGCTAGCTGAAATTAGATTCCAGAAAACTAACAAAACCAATGGTTTTTAGAGAAAGAAAAAGTGGAGGGCTTTTCTAAAAAATTGTCTAAAACCAAAAGATTACCGTTCCAAATCAGAAAAAATGAACAAAATACAACTTTTTTTAGGAAAAAAAAAATTCAGGAAACAAACCCAATATATAAGGTCTTTGGTTTTCTTAACCCTATTTTTAAAAGTTAAAATTACATTTTCGTAGTTTTGTTCATGCTTGATAACATTTCATTTATTCTAAAACTAATATGAAAACCCGAAGTCAATAAGCTGTCGAAAATTTCACATTGTAATATATTTTTTTGTTTTATTTTTATTAAAATCAACGAAGACGACGTATAGCCATTCAAAGTTATGATAAACCAATATCAACACATACCACAAATGTTTTTAGGATATTAAAACCAATCATGCAGTTGGTTCCAATATTAATTACATGTTTTCAATATTTTGAACTAATTTTTATTTATTGAATTTATTCCTTGAGTTTATAAATAAAGGGTTGAACTTAACCTGAATTTTAGTTGGTTTCGTTAATTTCGGTGAACAGATTAGTGAATATCGTTTAAACGTAAAATTACATTAAATAAACTATTTCAAATTTCCTTTATTTAAAAATATCATTTAATAAATTGGTGAATATGGTTATATTTATGCTTGATTACATACTATTTATTCTTAAAATAATATTAAACAGATTCAATCTATAACTAATAAATATACAAATAACTTAAAATATCATATGTTAACAACATATACCATGTTAAATATAATATGTTTCTAATTCTTACATGTTAATAACTGAATTTCCAATTATTAATACCTTGTATTTATTTATTACATTGCTAATAACATTATACTTCAAATTTCATTCAATTTTTTCCACTAATAACAAATGATGTATCACAATACAAAGGTCAAACCAACTGTCATACCCTGCCTTGACAAAAATAAACAAAAACTAAAGTACAAAATCTTATGAATCCATATAAGTAGAATTAATTAATTTAACATAATTATACAATGTATATAACATATAAATATAGTGATTTAATGATTTTAGTCACTTTCACAACAGGTGCCTAATGTCCAAATCCATTAGGTTAAGGTCCACCTGTGATCTTCTCAATCCATCTATATATAAACCATCAACTCCTAAACTTAAGCATAACATATATGATATATCTTCCTATACCACATACCTCCCCCCCCCCCCCCCCCCCCCCCCCCAACAAGATAATGAAGGAAGAAGAACCAAAGGGGAAGAGAAAGAGATGTGTGGCATCAATGAAAGAACATTATTCAAGATTCTATATATTTACAAGATGTGTTGTAATCTTAATTTGTTGGCATAAACATGCAAACTCTACTTAGCATATGTATATATGTATGTATATAGACATGAAATATGATTGTTGAAAACTGGCTAATTAATCATTCATGTGGGTTGTTCTGCAATGCACACTCAGACAGAATGATTGTAATCGGAAAAAGATGGGATGTGATATAAAAGCAAAAGGAAAGACAATATGTTCATTGTTCATTTAGAAGATGAGGAGCATTTGTTCTTGATCCATTTGAAACCAGTGGATGTACCTTTCTTCACTTTGTGAGCTCCAACAATGGCAGCAGATTTAGCTTTCACAAGTCCTGTAGCTGCAACTGCCTTCACCTGTTCCATCTTCTTGTTATTGTTGTTGTTGCTCTTAGTATTTTCCTTTTTTTCATTTTCTTTTTCTTCATTGTCAAAGACTCCAGTTCCCCATTGATCAGACCAGCTTGATGTCTTGCTTCCCATGTTGAGATCTGTAATTCATTGAAAATTAAATCATTAGAGAATCGAGAAGTTGAAACTTCAATGAAACAATCAAACTGGAGCGATCGATTATAGATAAAATTAGGTGGATCTAACAATTCACTCAATTATAACAATCGATTAGGACAAGTATCACTTGATTCGATTTCTTCAAATTGCAGATATACATCGAGTTTTGATTTTGAAATTGCTTCGAACTCTATGATAAAACTCTAAAAGTTAAGAATCATGTTGAATTCTAAGCATATCCATATCGATTTTGCAATCAGAAAGTTTCGTAACAGAAAAATCGAAGATGTGAACAATGTTAAACCACAAAACCTAATCAGAATGCGCATCTCTTAATTGCTTCTAAATCCTAATAACAATCGATGCACCAATAAGCATTGTAAATCAGATACGCGACATATACACAAAATTCAGCATTATCTGAGAAGAACACAAAAGGAATTACAAACGATAAACTAAAGAAGAAAATTACAAACTAATTCAATTGAGAACTCGCAGAACCCTAGAGTTCAAAACCCCTCTTATTAGGTAGTGATTAAAACCCTTGTAACATAAAGGGAGACAGCAATATGTAAAACCCTACCTTTCAGTGATGGTGACGACCCGTCTAGAGAGAGAGTATCGAAGTTGATAATGACTAGAGTGAGACCAACGAGGCTTTAAAGTTTTAAGCATTGATTATTAAGACAAAGGGATAATAGAAAACAACATTTTTCTATATTTTATTTAGCATTTTCATGGTCATTCAAAGAATTTTAATTTCGAAACTTGATAAATTGCAAATTATGAGGTGTTTTTATTATTTTTTTTAGGCGGAGGGTTTAAGTTTCGACATTGATATAAGTATAATTAGATGTTAGTTTGGGAGTAGATCAGATTTGTAGATTTGTTGGTAAAAGAAAAAATACAAACGGTATTATTTGAGGTCCTTATTTAAAATGTCATGTTCAATATAAATCCACTACAATTTTGCTACTCATATATCAAATCTTCTTTTTCTTTTTATGTATTTCAAAATTGTTGTCTACTTCATGTTTAAGAAAGGCTTAATAACTTAAGAGTATAACCAACTTTGGTTTT